AGCAAAGGGCCGCAGGTCCGATTTTAACCCTGGACCGCTGCAGTAAGGACTGCAATAATAGCTGAGCTTATCACAGTGATCTATCTTTGCACAATGCTCCATTCAGAAAATAATTAATAGTATAAGCTATTGGATAACAAATACACAGCAGCCCACAAAACAAAGAAAAATAAATGGAACCTGTTAAAATTATGTTTATTTAAAATAATATTCTTGAGAAGAACACAGGGTTATGTTGTTATAAATCTGCTTCTTCCCGTGAGAAAAATAGATGTACTCTTGAAAACCCACAAACCACAATTTTAGACCCATAATATTATTGTGTGATATTTAAATAACCACTACATGTGCACTTTAACATCCAGAGTTTTCAAATACAGTAACCACTTTGAAATGTGTGTATGGTAATGGCTACATACACACTAGCCACTTTAATTCAGATTTACTGATTGTAATGATCTGTCTGCACGCCTATGGCTCCATTGTAATTACAGACAAAATACTGAAGTGATGTGTACTAGAGTTGTTTCAGGAGCCATGCAGATAATCCCAAGAACTACCGATCAATTGTATCTTTTATGACAGGTGACAGGTGATTTATGAAAGCACACAAAGACTGATCAGACAGGGCTCAAGGCGTATTCTTATTGACCATCCTAACAAAAACTTAAATTATTTATTATGTAACACTTTTATTCATACAAAACAACAGAATATATAAAGAAAAGGTCACTCTCATGCCTGGGAGTTCTACTATTGCTCAAAATTGCATTAGCTGAGGAAATGGCATGTTTAGAATAAAAAAAAAAAGATAATAAAGCAAACTTGAGTGTTTCACACAACCGTACACTCCCTTTGTCTTGTTCTGGCTTCTATGCTGTAAAACAAACTAAAATACATAACGACTAAAAGTGTCCTCCCCTATACCTGGGCTAAAAGCTACAAACATAAATAACAAAAGCACATTTGTTTGGCTTTTACATTACACAGCTTCAAGAGTCCATCCAGTGTCCACTTTTCCTTATTTGATTCTGAAGATGAGAACAAAAACAAACAACAACAACAACAACAACAACAACAACGATAACAACATTGATAACAGTAAAGAGAAATGACGGCTTGCTGTGGAGAGAGGAGTGAAAACTGAGGGGATGAAAACTCCTGTGTGTGTGTGTGTGTTTGGTTGTTTCTCCATCAGAGCTCATTGGAAGCTCGCTCGCCCTCGTCCAAAGGCGTGTAACATGTCTGTGTTAGGTCCCTCCTGTGGGGGGTGCTGTGTGCTGCTGCTGGATGGGTGTGAGGAGCAGAAGTGAGTACTGGCGGTCCGTGGCAGGCAGACAGAGGGGGGTCTTTAGTGTAAAGTCTCTCTCCTCACTGCAGAAAGGAACAGCTAGGTCGGGAAAGCCAGGAAGTTCATCTTGGACCACGGTCAGGTCACCACCACGCACTCTCTTTTGTACACACACTCCTGACGTCTCCGTGCTCACAAAACACGCGCACAATCAGCCAGACCCAGACACCCCTGCTAGTTTTTAGGTGGTTCGTTCCTCCCCGTCGGTCTCCTGCTTGGTCCTGCGCAGGTTGCTCTTCATCTTCACAAACTCGGGGGTGTTCTCCTGTTCCTCCTCATTTTTCTGCTGCTCTAGTTCCAGCTGCAGGAACACAGACGAATGCAGATGAAACAAATGAAAGAGGTTATAATCTGTTATTAGCTTAACAACTATAAACTGCCCCTCGTTTTAGCTTGCGAGGGCCAAAACAGGGGTCAGTACCTTTGCTATCTTTCTTCTCTTGTGATAAGATACAGTAACAATGTGCAACCATCTGTGTGTGTAAGTTTATGTTCATTCTTTCAATCATTTACCTGCTCTAGTTTCTGTTGTCTTTTCATGAGCTCTATCTCCAGGTCACTCCTCTTCTTGTGGGCCTCCTGCTCCTCCTTCTGAGCCTTGAGAACTTGCTCCCTCTTCCTTTTCTCCATAACCTTCTGGAGCTCAGGTTTGTTCTGAGGAGCCAGACCCCTGTGCAGAATCAATCAGCGAAACAGCATGTTACTAAAATAAATCTTAACCAACAACCTCCGACAACCCATGCTAACAACACTACAGAGCCCCACTCAGAGGGAGATTAGCATTCACATTCACACGTAACAGATGATTGCCATGACCTCATTCTGGTTTGACATGCAGATCTGTATTAGATGTTCTGGATTAAGTATGTCAGCCTTGTTTCAGGAAAGTTTGGATTTCAAATCACAGATTGCTCTACATTTACCAATCTGTGTACATGATGGCTGCCAGCGCTAAAACTGACTTTGTAGAAACTGACTTTGGAAAAGAGGGTTGAAACCATGGGCCTTTTCCCCCTCTCTTTCTTTCCCTTTCTTAACCTTAAAATATCAACCCGATCTTAAACTCTCTACCGTATTCCTTACATGGAAGTTGTCCTGGGGTGATAAGTAATTTCGGAAACCGGAGAGACGGTTACACAACTGCCTGGGTATGCGCAGCAAAATTCAACAAGAGAACAGGGACTTATCTTAGTAAAGTGTGAGTGTGTCTTGCGAACAAGAGCAAACAATACCAAATGTTATGTAATGCTCCAAACTCTTCCAAATTACAAGAGAGAAGGGTGGGGGGGTGGAGGCTGAAAGAGATGGATTGGAGTCCGGAAGGGCAAAAGCAAATAAACCCAAATCCCACAAAGGATTAGGGAGGAACAATAAAGTGCCACACAAGAAAATAAAACATTTAAGACCAGTTAAAGGACAGAGGCTACGCACTGGTCAAAATTCCAATCTCCCTGCCCTTAAGAAATTGGATTTAAAAACCTTATTATCAGATTACTTAACTCAGATTCTTTTCCTTTCACCAGGAAAGCCAGACTTCGCTGCACAGGCTGCATCAGTTCTTCAAAGAAAACACAGCGTGCCTACCTGACTGCAGCTCAGCAACAACAATGCCTTAATTAAATGAGCTATTAAACCTCCAAGATTACATAACCCGAGCCCACCACGTTCAAAGACGAGAGCGGGAGTTCATTTACAACAAGGCACTGCTTTATCTGAGTCGCTGCTGCCGTTAAACGCTCCGCTCGTCCTGTCAGCGAGGGGCTCTTATGAAAACACTTTGCAGGCCGGATCAGAGCGGAGGGTAATAGATGTGATCGTGTCGGGGCTGTTTCCGAGCACCTCGCGCAGAAAGGGAGGAGGAGGGGGGGTCAAGGTCAAGGAAAGCAATACGGCAGGCTATAAAGATGTTTAAGCCGCTCTCCTTTCACCGTGGGTAAGGTTTACATAATCGCTGACCCCGCTATCCACGACCCCTCGCATGAGTGCACGCCCTGTAGCAGACTGGAAGGAATGTGTGTTCAAATTCCCACACATCAATACCTCCATCTGCTAAAATGATTCACCAGTCGTGGTGGCTGAATTTCTGAAATTCCTCCCTGTGTGTGTGTGTGTGTGTGTGTGTGTGTGTGTGTGTGTGTGTGTGTAGGAGGGGTCGCCACAGCTAAGGTAGCAAAGGCAGAGGAAAAAAAGGCCCTCAGCTAGAGACTGTTTTGTAATCTTGATTACATAACACATTTTTTTTTCTCACTGTTCAGCCATCTATCCATCCATGCATCCTCCCCCCCCCCCCCCCC